GATATACATATAAGAAAAGTTTTTCCATGGTTGTTGTGAGAAATTTGGAAAGCTAGGAATGCTTTTATCTTTAAAACCAATGATATCGAGTCCTCGTTTATTGCTAATAAAACTTATGAAGAAGAATCCACATGGTGATGCATTCACATGATCGAAGAATGGAACTGATGAAGCTGACTCGGATAAGGTTCAATGGAAAAAATCCCCAAATGGTTTCCTCAAATGTAATGTTGGATCCTCATGAGTAAACTCAATTCATATTAGTGGTGCTTCATGGATTCAACGTGACGAAAAATGATGTACAATCATGCATAGTCGTCGAGCCTACTCATGTCTGCGCACAAAAACAGAGGCAGACTTATGGGTTTTTTTCTGGGCGGTTGAATGTTTGCAAAATTTGCATTTCTCGAAGATTATTTTTGAGACTTCATCAGAAAGCCTTCGCGATATTCTCACCAAGCCTGTCGATCACCAGAGTTTCAGCCTCATCCGCCACAATGACAGGGGTAGAAGCATGGCCACAATATATTCTTCCTCCTGATAGGGATAGAAGCATAGAGGATTGATCACGCTTTCCCGGAACGCAATGAAGCTGCAGCGGCCATTGCCTTAAGTGTCACTCGTTATCCGCGGCACCAATCGTACATTTGCCTGAAATGCTCAGGTCTGGCTACACCATCTTCTCGCTTTGGAGGATCAGTAGTAAAAGGATTTAGTGAGATTTTCTTGGTTTTTGATGTCTACTGGCATACCATTTTTTCACGTATCTCATTTGTTCCTCTGTTTTTGTTTTTCTCCCGAACGTTTAAACACCAGTGTTAAAAAAAGAAAAAAAGACTCAAGACCACGAAAATCGAACTCTTTGTGATTGAGAAGGAAACGTGAATTGAAAAAGATAGTTGATTGAGAAGGAACTCTGTTGGGACCTGTCATTGTCACGGCTCAGCCCCTTATGTAGACCACCATAGTTTATTCTTATCACCCGGACATGGTCTTCTTTTTTGAAAAGTGGTCCTATTCGTTCTTTCTTTTTTCGTAAGAACTTTGATTTTACATTTGCTTTTTTTTTTCTTTCTTTTTCGTAAGAACTTTTTTCTTTTTCTTCACATTTGATTTAAGAAAATTCAAAAACATAATTAAAAACTGAATCTATATAATATGTCCTTGGGCGTGTAACGAAGAAATATTGATGTTTAATATATATGGAGTAAAGGACCAAATTGTAATAAACTTGTGATTTAATCCCTCTATATATTAAAAGAGAAGTACATTTTCCAGGTGGCACTCACACAGCCCTTCTCAGACGAATTCTAGCGATTCTATTGGTTGATTTTTTAGAATTTATTTTTGATTTATTTTTACCATCGACAATACTAAAAAAGAAATCCATTTAAATACTTACCTTTTGTGTTTTCTCGATTCAAAGAACATCCTTTTGCGATCTTTTCTCTGTTTAATTCATTAAATACTCATTAAATATTTTAGATGTCAGAGAAACAAAATTAATTGACAAGATATTTTCACTCTTAAAATCATGCATTTAAAACAAAATTAATTGATACGATATTTTATCTCCTAAAATCATGCATTTAAAACTTAAACCAAAATTCTGGTGCAATCTATTCACGAGATGTTCTCCTTTAGCTTTATCAATAAGATATTCCAAAAATAATATTACCTTAAAAGTATAAGATTTATTGAGAATTTATTAGAGAATATGTTATTTCTTAGCTTATCATACAAGCTAAATCATTGAGAAACGTCCATTAATTTACTATAAATAAGACATTCACAGTAGAAGAAATGAAATTATTGAACTTTGTATTCTGAACTTTTTATGTTAATAATGTTCTAAACTTTTTTTTTTCTTCTTATTTTATAACATTAAGCTTTTATATTTCATGAGAGCTGATTTTTCTTTTGGTTTATATGCAGATATCTTATTATGACGATTTCTCCACTGAAGCTATATATGATTTGATTGTACACCTCTTTGATATATCATTTCGATAACATCTTTGTTCCTCAATCTGGTAAAAAAAATTCTCTATTTCATAACATCTTTCAGCTATATCATTCAATAGCATCTTTTTGTGCTGCCAATACTTTTTTTTTTTGATTAACAGATTTATATTATTGTTTAGAATTATAAGCTTATATATACATATATATTTCTTTGGTTTGCTGATTGTGATTTTTTTATGATCTTTTTAATTAAAATTGATATATTTTTTTGGTTTGCAATTATATGATCTTTTTAATTAAAATTAAATATATATAGTAATATTTATTAATCAAAAAGTTATATCAACTACTTTTTATATTTATTATTTCCTTATTATATATCATTTAATATTTAAATATCTATAGTTTAAATGTAATTTACCTTAATGTTTTTAGTTTATTAATAACCTACCTTATTTTGAANTTTTTAATTAAAATTAAATATATATAGTAATATTTATTAATCAAAAAGTTATATCAACTACTTTTTATATTTATTATTTCCTTATTATATATCATTTAATATTTAAATATCTATAGTTTAAATGTAATTTACCTTAATGTTTTTAGTTTATTAATAACCTACCTTATTTTGAACACATATTACTTGTGCAACTTCAAATCATAGTTATTACATTGTTTTAATGCAATTTACCTTAATGTTTCTAATTTTTTAATCGTCTTTATAAACTTATTTTGAACACATATTACTTGTGCAACTTCAAATCATAGTTATTACATTGTTTTAATGCAATTTACCTTAATGTTTCTAATCTGTTAATTCGTTTTAAAAAACTTACCTTATTTTGAATATGATTTAATTGCACAATTTTATAACATATTAATTATAAATCATTTAATGACAATATAACTTTAATATCTTTCTTTGAACTATTTCATTATTTATTATGAAATATATTCCTAAACATCATTTGTTATGAAAATATCTCCCTAATAACATAAGAAAAAAAGGAAGGTAAAAAACAAACAACTGTAAGAATTTATAAATTTAAATTTATAAATTCTTACAGTTGTTTGTTTTTTCTATTAACAGATAAATAACACAGACGAAAGATCGGTTGTAGTTAACTACAAACCATTTATCAGTTTGTTTCAATAATGATATGCAAATTTAATATTATTTTTGTCTCAATAAAATTTAGAAATCTATTATATTATTTTATATTGTACAGGTGCTAACAAAATTTGACAATTTTTTGTAGGTTTCTATGAGATATTTTAATTCATAATTGTTCTTCTTATTATATATTACTTATTTAATTCACAAGATTGATTAGTAATAATTAAGAATGATTTATGTTAACGCATTAAATTCATAACATCTATATAGCAATAAAAAGAATGTAATAAATAATACGACTATATTATTTGATACTAACTTATCGTGCAACCATATCAACACTGTTATATATATCTTACATTTTCTTATAGTTTACATTTTAAGTTGCTTATTTTCTTCAAAGCTTAATCTAATGACGTTTTTTAGAAAAAAATAACTTTTGTGCCTATGTACTTAAAAAAACTAACAAAATATGAATGTCTATTTTGAGAATCTAAAACAGAGATATGGAAAAAAAAATAACTTATGTTATCTGCAAGAAAATAATGAAGAAAATATTGAAGTTATTAAAGAAGCATGTTATTGGGCATCAGCAAAGGATCTACGCAAGCTGTTTTGTGTCCTATTACTAACACATAGTATCACAAATCCAGAAAACGTTTGGAATGCTACTTGGAAAAAACTATCACAAGATATATTATGCAACCAAAGAAAAAATACGGATAAACCAAGTAAACTCATGTT